AAAAATGGGCAGAGGACCTGAATAGACACTTCTCAAAAGAGGACATACAGATGGCCAATAGACATTATGAAAAATGCTCAAAGTCACTAACCATCAGAGAGATGCAAATTAATACTAGAATAAGGTATTACCTCACACCTGCCAGAATGGCTATCATCAATAAATCAACAAACAAGTGCTGGTGAGAATGTGCAGCCACTGTGGAAAACAGCACGAAATTTCCTCAAAAAATGAAAAAGTAGAATTGCCATTTGACCCAGCAATCCCACTTCTAGGAATATATCCTAAGAAACCCCAAACACCAATCAGAAAGAATATATGCACTCCTATGTTCAATAGCAGCCTTATTTACAATAGCCAAGATCTGGAAACAAAAGTGCCCATCAGTAGATGAGTAGATAAAAAAGCTGTGGTACATGTACACAATGGAATACTATGCAGCTGTTGAAAAGAAGGATCTCTTACCCTTTGCAACAGCATAAATAGACCTGGAGATTATTAAGCTAACTTAAATAAGCCAGGCAGAGAAAGACAAATATCACATGATCTCACTTACATGTGGAATCTAATGAACAAAATAGATCCAGAGACATAGAAGTAGGGATTAGACTGACAAACCTCAGAGGTGGGAGAGGGAAGAGATAAACCAAAGAACATATATGCATAATCAATGGACACAGAAAACAATACTGTGAAGGGAGTGTGGGAGTGGGGAGGAGGGTGTCAATGGGGGAAAAAGGAAAAACATCTGTAACAAATAAATTAATTTTAAAAATAAAATCAATTTCCAGTCAAGATGGCGGCGTAGGTAAACGCAGTACTCGCCTCCTCCTACAACCACATCAAAATTACAACTAAACTACAGCACAACCATCATTGAGAACCACCTGAAATCAAGCTGAATGGAAGTTCTACGACTACGAAATTAAAGAAGAAGCCACATCAAGACTGTTGGAGGGGCGGAGGCAGAAAGGCTGGTCCCACACGCATGCATGGCAGATAAAAATCAGAAGGACACCTCGGCTGGGAAGATCTTCCCTGAGGAGTGAGGGGTCCCTGTCCCCCACCAGGTGCCCAGCTCAGGGTTCCAGTGCCAGGAAGAAAAGTCCCCATAATTTCTGGCTATAAAACCAGTGAGAACTGAAGCTGAGGGAGACTGAGGCTTCTGGAGCCCCAGGCAGCTCCTCTTAAAGGGCCCGCGCACGGACTTACTCAGACCTGTTCCCTCTAAGCTCAGAGGGGAGGCAGCTTGAAAGGCACCAGAGACATACAGGGAAGAACTGAGCTGTTGGCCTCGGGATGAGGACTGGAGAGGCAGCTTTCTCTCCGACAGACGACAGACGTGCTGGCGGAGGCCTTTGTTCCTTTGGTGAGCCCTTCCCCAGGGCAGCAGAAGGGCACCACATCTGGGACTCCAGCAACCTGGCTCACACTGTTGGCCTCGCCCTGGTGATTCCCTGAGGCCCTGCCCCACCCAACTTTCGGGCCCACCCAAGCTGTTTCCAAAGGCTTTACTATAGAATTGGCCTATCTTGGATCCTGCTTCAGAGTTTCCTAAATTATTTCAAACAAGCAGCATCTGCTCTCAGCAAGCCCCATACCTCTCATTAAGTGGTCCCAGGCCTGGCACTAGGAGCAGCCAGCCTTGGTTCACAATCTGGCTCTTCCTGGGCACCTCCAAGCCCAGCACAAGAAGCATCCATCTGCAGATCACTTTGTAGCTTATGCTGGATGGCCCCGGGTATAACACAGGTGGAGGCTGACCTTACTACAGAGCCAGTGGACAGCTTCAGACCACATCCAAGCACCACCACCCAACCACCTCCACAAGTGACACACTCAATGAGTGGACTTGTGGGTACCAGAGCCCTGATGAAGTAAATCTTGCTCTGTGTGTTGGGCCCCTACACCACTGATCCTCCAAGGTAGTCAGAGGTGAGTGGTCAGTGGGCATAGCCAGTCCTTGCAGCTGGTCAGCCTGAGTAAATCCCTCCCATTGATGTGCCAATAGCAATCAAGACTCAATTACAACAGAAGGGTGTACAGTCCACACTAGGAGTGCACCTCGAAGGCCCAGCTGGGGTGATCAGGGAGGCTGTGCTACTGGATCCTACAGGACACCTACAATAATAGGCCACCCTACAAAGCCTAGGAGAAATAGCATCTCTACCTAATACATAGAAACAATCACAGGGAAGCAGCCAAAATGAGGAGACAAAGAAACATGTCCCAAATGAAGAACAAAACTCCAGGAAAAGAACTAAACAAAATGGAGATAAGCAATCAATCAGATGCAGAGTTCAAAACAGTGGTTTTACGGTTGCTCAAGGAACTTAGTGAGACCTTCAAGGAACTTAGTGAGAACATCAACAACATCAAAAGAACCAGTCAGAAATGAAGGATGCCCTAACTGAGATAAATAATAATTTACAGGGAACCAATAGTAGAGTAGGTAAAGCCAAGAAGCACGCCATTGATTTGCAATATAAGGAAGCAAAAAACACCCAATCAGAACAGCAAAAAGAAAAAAGAATCCAAAAAAATGAGGATAGTGTAAGGAGCCTCTGGGACAACTTCAAGCGTGCCAACATTCGCATATTGGGGGTGCCCGAAGGAGAAGAGAGAGAACAAGAAATCGAAAACCTGTTTGAAACAATAATGGCAGAAAACTTTCCTAACTTGGTGAAGGAAACAGACATACAAGTCCAGGAAGCACAGAGAGTCCCAAACAAGATGAACCCCAAGAGGCCCACACCAAAACACATCATCATCAAAATGCAAAAGTTTCAAGACAAAGAGAGAATCTTAAAAGCAGCAAGAGAAAAGCAGTTCGTTACCTATAAAGGAGCTTCCATGAGACTGTCAGCTGATTTCTCAAAAGAAACTTTGCAGGCCAGAAAGGAGTGGCAAGAGATATTCAAGGTGATGAAAAGCAAAGACCTACAACCAAAATTATTCTATCCTGCAAAGCTATCATTTAGAATCAATGGATATATCAAGAGTTTCCCAGACAAGAAAACGCTAAAGGAGTTCATCACCACCAAACCAGTATTCTATGAAATGTTGAAGGGTCTTCTTGAAGGAGAAGAACAAAAATATGAACAATAAAATTGCAATTAATACATATCTATCAACAATTGAATATATAAACAAAATGAGCAAGCAGGACAGAAACAGACTCATAGATACAGAGAACTTCTGGTTGCTTGCCAGATGGGTAGGGGCTGGAGGATGGAGGGCTGGGTGAAAAAGATGAAGGTATTAAGAAGTACAAATTGGTTGTTAGGCTGATAAACCTCAAAGGGAAGGGGGGAGGAAGGGCGGGATGAGATAAACCAAAGAACTTCTATGCATACATGCATAACCAATGGACACTGACAATAGTGTGGGGAAGGCAGGAGGGAGCGGGATTGGGGAAGGGGGGGGGGTCAATGGGGAAAAAAAGGGAGGGACATCTGTAATACATTCAACAATAAAGATGAGTTTAAAAAATTATGAAATAAACTGATGAACAGAATAGGTCCAGAGACATGGAAGCATGGCACAGACTCACAAATCTCAGAGTGAGGGAGGGGAAGAGGTTAACCTATGGACAGACAGCAGTGTGATGAAGGGCTAGGGTAGGGCAGAGGCTGGGTGGAGGGGGGCAAAAGGGGAAGGAAAAATGGGGGACATCTGTTATACTGACAATTTTTTAAAAAACACTCAATGAAAGGGGGAAAAGAAAGATATATGGCTAAATGTTAATTTCTTCCAGAATGGGCCAGCAATCAGTGATTTTTCTTTAGTTTCTTTTCACTTTTTCTGTTATTTCTAAATGATCTAGAATGAGCACAAATGATCTTAAGTACCACAGGAAGAAAATACAAGAGTGGCTCCTTGTCCTAAAAATAATAAAAACACTGCAAAGGAAGAAAGTCTGGGGCCAGTTGGGGTGACTTGGAGAGGATGAAAGATTAGGGGGAGTAAGTGGGTGAGGGAAGGAGGGAGAGGGGAAGATGGGTCAGGGGAAGTCAGGGCCTGTTTTTTTTTTATCCTCACCCGAGGACATTTTTCCATTTTTTGTTCAGGTAGAGTGGGAGGGAGAGAGAGGAAAAGAGAGAGAGAGAGAAACATCGACGTGAAAGGAACACATTGAGTGGCTGCCACCCACACAACCGACCAGGACCGGGGACAAACTGCAACCGAGGTACGCGCCCCTAGCGGGAACCGAACCCGGGTCTCTCAGGACCGCAGGCCGACGCTCTAACCGCTGAACCAAACTGGCCAGGGCCAGGGCCTGTTTTTAGGGAGCAGCCACTATCCTGGGGCCACCCTGTGTGGCCCTGCCCAGGCGGCCTTGGGCTCTCAGGCCAGCAGCAGAGAAGTCCTGCCTGGCAGCTTCTGTCCAGGCCCCATAGCACTGCAGCCACTGTCCTCCCCAGAGCTCCCTCTAGCCTCTGCCTGCAGACTAACAGTTTAAATGGAGAGACTGCAATCCTGGATCCCAGAGAGGCTGATTTAGAGGGATCATGTTGGGCTCATTTTGTGCATAGTCCCTTAAAGGAGTGAGAGGACAAACAGGGCGGGGAGGACCCAGCCTCACAGCCGACAGTCTAGAAGACAGGCTGGTAGCAACACGAAGCTCATTAGCTCAGAAGAGAGAACACCAGTGATCAATCAAAGGCATCTTTATTGTCTCTTCCCAAGATGCACAGTGGTTCTAACAGAGCTTCATTCACCCCCTGGCAGGCAGGGAAGAGGAGAGAAGGAGCAAAGGTAACACTACACCTTCAGAAGTAAGGTGGGTTAGGGAGGGGACTAGGAGGTCCTGGGAGGGGGCAGCGGAAGGCCTGCAAGAGTCAGGGGGCCTCAGGAGGGGAGGGGAGGGTTTGAGGAGGGGCTGAGTGTGCAGGGAAAGCATCAGGAGAGCAGGGTGGAACCTGGGGAGGGGTGGGCAGGGGGGACTAGGAGAGTACCAGGAAAGTGGGCCAGGGCAGGGGAGAGGGCCTGAGGCGGGGTCAAGAAGGCCTGGCTGCAGCTACGAAGATGTCCTTGTAGCCCTTGATCTCCTTGACTTCGTTGCTGCTAATGAGGACTTGCAGCTGGCGGGGTCCAGCTTTGAAGGGGTAGAGGTCCAGATGAATTTGGATGGTGTGTCCAGCCACCAGAGTCCCAAGCCTGAAAGTAAAAAAGAGTTTGTTAGAGCCTTGAGGAGTAACTGCTGGGGTGGGTCATCTGGTTACCGGCTTTGGTCAGTAAGCACCTCCCACCTCCCAACACCACAGAGCCAACCTTCCCTGAGGAGGGGAGGAAAATGGGTACACAGAGGCACCATCCAGGAGACTGAGGACTGTCCTGTGACCCCCAAGACACACCCCTTATCAGAGACCAGCATAAGACGGGTGAATGGCAATGGCACTTACTCATTTGCTATCTGTCCGTGGATGAGGCCACTTCCCTCCAGCACCATCGTGCAGTGACTCAGGGGCGACGTTTGGGTGTTGGTGAGGATGACGTGGACTCGCAGTGCCTTGCCCACCTCAGCCCTCCCAGACACCTGGGCGGAGAGAAGACCGGGACGCTGTGGGCAACTGACCTAATTTCTGCACTCCAGTTCAGTAACCTCACTCCCCGTCCCTCTGTTGACTACCACGGACTATTTATTTAGAGCTAAGACGCTGCAGTTGGGAGAAAAGAATATGAGCTGAGAGTGTTCATGGTTAACACACAACCTGGCCTGTCTTAGGAGGAAGCCGCCATCAACTGGGAATGGGTACTACATTGAAATCTCTTTCCCTCTCCACCATCTAGTTCAGGATGGCAATTAGATTTCAATTTACATGCCAGCTCCAATAGCTAGTTGTGGCTGATAGGAACGCTGTGCTACAAAGAAACACGTGCCTTATACTCCAATGAGGGTGTCAAAGTAGAACAGGGAAAAATAACGAATCCAGAATAGTCACACAAATCATCCCCAGGTCCCTTACTGATAGGGGCCATTTAATATCCTACTTGGCATCTGATGCATTTGCATCAGGTCCTGTTGTAACCAGGCTTCAGGTAACAGGCAGGGCTGGCACCTAGACACCATGTCTGCGCTTACGATTCTGCCCACTGTTTTAGAGGCTGCCTGACATGTGCCCAGGTGGAAACCTTCAGGTGGCCAGGCGGTTTACGACACGGAGTCACTCAATTCTCGATCTGAGCAGGGATGGGCTGTGCTGTTGGAAGCCACCAGGTGCAAAGCCAGGTTGGAGCCAGGCTGAGGGGAAGTCTTTCAGAGGGGAAGGGAAAGGGGGGAAAGGGGGCTTCAGGGGAAGGAAGCCCTGGTCATAGGAGATGGAGAACATCCTGCCCTCCTCTGTTTGTCCTCCCTTCACCTGTATTCCTTCCTTAGCCAATGGCCTTGCCAGCCACTTGAGTCTCTGAACTTGAAATCTGAGGTTCATCTTTCATTTGCTTCCCTCTTCCTGGTCACCCCCATCTTATCAGCAGTTACCTTTTGAATCTGACTTGTGGTTGCTCTCAAATCTCTCTCCTTGACTCCATTTCCCAGTCATTGTCTTTCTCGTCTCTGCCTCTGCAAAGCTACTTCCTTACTTAAAATGCCTTCATCTCTATTTCTTATGTCCACACAGTGTCTTCCTATAGCCTACATTCTATTTGCATCTTCTATAAAATGTCACTTCCCCTGGGAAGCATTCATGCCCCATCCTGCACTTTGCATAGAGCACAAAAGACCACACCATACTGTGCTTTGATCATCCATTTGGTGTTGAGACAGTTACTGTGTCTCTTTTGCTGCTGTATCTCCAACCCCCAGGTTGGGTGAGTCAGAGGGCCCTGGGTCCCATTTGTGTCCAGCCGCCTTACCTGGATAGATAAGTGGGGAGGCTCCAGAGAGATATCTTTCAGGACCAGGATGGACCTCCCCGTCCCCTCCACCTCAGCAATGCCAGACACGCGAATCAGCTTTTCATCCGTCAGCTTGTTTCTGAAATTGTTGTAGGGTAGCAAGAGCGGCCACTGTGTCTCTAAGCACAGATAAAAGACATCTTGAGCCTGGGGAATGCATCTCAAAGAGTGGGAAGGAGGAAACGTGTGTGTGAGTCTAGATGGGTGTGTGAAAGTGTGTGTGTGTGTGTGTGTATTTAAGAGAGAGGCGGATAGCAGGTGTACCCTGCCTCTGTTGCACACAGAGGTCACTGCTGTTTCACTTGGTGAGATGGCGTCAGAGGTACAGCACTTGGCATTCAACCTCCTGCCAACAGCAGCTTCACTGCCCAGTGAGGGGTGTGTGTGTGTGTGTGTGTGTGTGTGTGTGTGTGTGTAAATGTGGGGGGATCTCTGTGTACTCTGGCTGGTCCAGCCCAGCTTTGTTTATGGCCCCAAATTTCCCCTCCCTCCCTGGAGATAACTATCCTGGCCTGCCTCATACTCACCCTCCCCAAAGTCCAGGTTCAAGTGCACTATTTGCCTCCAAAGGGGCTCCTGGGAGCCACCCATGTGCAGCAGGGCCTGTGCGCAGAAGCGCACCACCAGCCTGAGGGGACCCCGGGCATGGGCTCTGTTTGGCACCCTCCTGGCATGCAGCTTCAGCAGCAGGTCCTGGCCCCACGCTGGTGACCTGGCCAGGTACAGCTGCAGCTGCGCTGGCTGGTCCCGAACACGCCCGGACTCCAGCAGGTCCAGGAAGGGAGAAGAGGCCCTTCTGGAGTCCAGCATTTTCCGGGATGCCTTCATGAACACAGACCGCTCCTCAGGGGATCCTGGCAGAAAGGAGAGACAGAAGAGACATCTGTGGGAGGGCTCAAGGCAACCCATGACCTTCTTTAGGAAACAAGTCACTGGACAACTCCCAGCTGCCCTCCTGAATCCCTAACCACAGGAAGAGCTGTGTCAAGAGGCAACACAACATCATGGCTGAGAACATGGCAATTGGTGTTGCCTAGTGCTGGGTTTAAACCCTCCTTCCATCACAGTCCTTGAATCTCTCAGTGCTCAGTTCTGTCCTCTATAACCTGAGGCTAACTCCTTGCCTCATAGAGTTGCCAAAACTTTGGGTTAAAAGAGTTGTTCTTTGCCCTGGCCAGTTTGGCTCAGTGGTTGAGCATCAACCTGCAGACCAGAGAGTCCCAGGTTCAGTTCCCGCTAGGGGCATGTACCACAAAAGAAAAAAGAAGAAAAAAAAAAAAGACTTGTTCTTTGTCATCAATATTGTCACTATCATCATCATCAAAGCCAGAGGCTCTCTCTCCTACCAGCATCCTCACTTCTAATATCTATGCCCAAGACTTTTTTTTAAATCAGTTTTTTTCTTTATTGATTTTTAGAGAGAGAGGAAGGGAAAGGGAGAGACAGATAGAAACATCAATAAGACAGAACATTGATTGGCCGCCTCCTGCATGCCCCCCACCGGGAATTGGGCCCACAACATGGGCATGTGCCCTGACTGGGAATTGAACCAGCGATCTCTTAGTGCATTGGTCGATGCTCAACCACTGAGCCAAGCCTTTTAAATACAGCTTTATTTCTTGCCCTTGGGGCCACTCAACATTCAGTCTTAACCTCAACTTACCCCAAACTGTGGACTTCTCTAGAACACTTACTGCGCATCAGAGGCACTGTTCCAAGTAGTTTCTGTATATTAACTCATTTAGCCCTCACAAAAGCCCTCTGAGATACTGTTAACCCATTTTACAGATGAGAAAGTAGAGGTTCGGGAATGGTAAGGATGTGTCCAGGCTTGCACAGCTAGAACATAGCAAGCCTTTGATTAGTACTCGGGCGGCCTGACTCCACCTGGCCTGCTCCATGGGGACATCCACTCCCTTCCACAGGCCCAGGAGTCCTTCCCCTCATGTGCATCACCTCTCCCCTTGCTGCCGCCCCACTGCCGCGACAGGAGTCTGTGGTGTGGCCCTAGGATATAGTTGCCAGGACATTCAGTTACATTTGAAATTCAGGTAAACAAATAATTTTTGGTATAAGAATTTCACATGCACTATTTGGGGCATAGTTATACTAATAAAATATTTGTTTATCTGTAATTCAAATTTAACTGGGCACCCTGTACTTTTATTTGCTAAATCCAGTAGCCCTGCCCTGGGGCCATGTGGCCAGGGGCCAGGAAAGCCCTGGGAGCCATCCCCATTGGGACGCAACACAAAGGACATTATACCCACCTCTCTTCCCAAATCCCCTGGGCCCCGGGTACCTTCTGGGTACTTGTAGAAACTGGTGATGTCCTGGCACTGATCTGATCCTACCATCTTGGTACTAATTTTCTTCCCGATGGAATTGGAGTTATGGGCCAGGATTTCCTGGACCTGGCCATCCCTGAAGAGCCAAATGACCTCATCGGCGTTCACCTCAGCATACACAAATGGGGTGTCATAGGGCATGTGGACCTCCCCTTCCCTGATGGCCTTCACGGAGGCAGGGCCGCAGCAGAACAGCCCTGTGTGGGGAAGCGGTGTGGACGGTGAACATGGCTGCTGACATCTGGACCTGGGGCAGGTGGTCATGGTTGTGGGAAGGAGAGAGATGGGCTAGGGAGGGGCAGTGGCATTAAGGCCACTCTCCTGTTCCCCTTCATTCAGCCGGTCTTGTGAAGCAACCGTCAGCATCACCCTCCCCACATTATAGGTGAGGAAGCAACTGGGAGATCCAGTGACGTGCCGGGTCACCCAGCTGTCAATGTCAAAGCCAGACTCCTGACCCAAAGTTGTCTCTGCTTTGACTTGGGGAAGGGAACAAAGTGGGAAAAATATCTTTTCTTGCCCTGGCCGGTTTGGCTCAGCGGTTAGAGCGTTGGCCCGCAGACCAGAGAGTCCCGGGTTCGGTTCCAGCTAAGGGCACGAAACTGTTGCAGTTTGTCCCCGGCCGCCTTGGGGTTATGTGGGTGGCAGCCACTCGATGTGTCTCTCTCACATTGATGTTTCTCCCTCTCTTCCCCCCTCTCTCCTTCCCAGTCTATCTAAAGATAAATGCAAAAATGTTCTCGGGTGAGGATAAAATATATATATATATATATATATATATATATATATATATATATATATATATATATCTTCTTTCTGGCCTCTTACTCACATGGTCAGTCACCCTGATTGGCCAGTCCACAGAGCCCAGACCCTTCCTCACCGCTGCTGGTTTGCTGGGGAGTGGGATCCAGAACCTGCCACCCGTTGTATCCTGGCGGGAGATCTTTCCGGATCATCCAGCACTCATTCCACACGTGGAAATTCCTACAGAAAGGAGGAAGGTGACAAGGACTCCCCTTTTCAGCAAATTTGCCAGGTATGAGACAAAATATTGAGTGCTTGATATCACTGTTTCTTCTCATTGTTTTTACTTTTTATGTGGAAGTAATTTTAAGCTTACAGTAAAGTTACAAAAATAGTACAAAGAATACCCTTATACTCACTGATTGTTAACATTTTGCCCTGTTTGCTTTTTCATTGGCTTCTTTCAGTACAGATATGGAGATTATATCTTTTCTTTTTTAAACTTCAGAGTATAGTTCCTAGACTAGGGATCTTCCCGTACCTCATACATTTAATATTGATACAATATTTTTAAATCTAATTTACTATCTATATTTCAATTTTGTCCTTTATTGACAAAATACAGGTTATCCTTTATAGCATTTTTTCCCAATGAGTCCAGGATCTCTTGTCTCCTTTACTCTGGAACAGTTCCTCAGCCTTGTTTTATTACATTGAAATATGAGTAGAGCCTTTATGTATTTGTTTGTTTGTTTTACCAGAGTGGCCCTCAGTTTTTGGCTCTTCTGGTGTTTACTCATGATTAGATTCAGGTTATGTGTTCACAGACAGAATTCTACATGAACAATATATTATTCTCAGATGTACCCTGCTTCTTGAATCTGAAAAGTTTCCGCTCTCTAGGAGGTCAGAGAGGGACAGCAGCTAGTTCTCAACGCAACTCAGGTCTTACCTGGAAACTGGCTGGAAAAGGAAATACAGGAAATCAGATTTGGGGTAGAGCAAAGGAGAAAGGAACCAGGGAAAGAGACTAGAGATACTATATATATATATATGAAGAGAGAGAGAGAGAGAGAGAGATGCAGAGGGAGTGAGGCAGCTCTTCTAGGCTTTGCCTTGAGAGGGGAAACAGAGAACAGTATAAGCAGAAAGACCCAAAATAGGAAGAGTAGGGTTAATGCAGATTTTGAGTTCAGAATTCAGAGACGCAATCTATTCATTTAGTTTCTGGCTTCAGAATGTTATCCCACAGTCTTCTGTTTCTGAAATGAGTTTGATGTGGTGATCTAATTAGCCAGAACAGTCTCCTGGGTTGGAGGCATATTCCCTGAGCATCAGCAACAACCTAGACTCCTCCCTCCCTAGAGAGAACCAGGTCAGGGTTTTCCTACCTTACTGGAGAAAGAGCAGAGATCTGTTTGAGGCAGTGCCCCTTACCATATTTTGTCTCTTTTCTGAGTTGACAGCATTTCTGCATTTCGGTCATAGTAGGTGTCTATGGTCAAGTTCCCATCCACGTTGTGTGCAGAACGGAAATTGGAAACAACACGGGTTGGAACACCTAAGCATCTCATTACTGAAGAGAAGAAAAGCATGTCGAATCACTGAGTTCACCCTGAGCCGAATCGCTGGTATGCCAGGCACACTTGCTAACTTTCTAGCTGGAGGGGAGGAAGAAGGCCAAGATTCTTGCAGATCCGTCCTGTAACTCCTTCATCCCAGAGCACCACACCCAGACCCCAAACTCTGCTGCCTGGGTGCCCTATCGATGTTCTCCACCCACCACGACTCCCCACCCCCGAATCACTTAAAACATTAATAACAACTCAATTTATCATTTAGGGATTTTCCCATTCATCAGCTTTCCAAATTAAAAACAAAGGACCAAAAACATTTTATAATTAGAAAGATAATTAGAAAGTTTAGGCCTATGCTGTGGCCAGTTTCAGAAGAGAAGTGTGTGACCTTGGGTAAGTGGCCTCACTTGCCCGGGCCTCCATCTCCCGGTATGGAACAAACTGAGGAATTGAACCAGATGGTTTTCAGTTCTGAAATTCTAGGTCTGTAATTCTACGAAAAGGCAAGGGTTTGGCAGAGGTAAGAAACAAATCAGAGAATGGATAGAAGAACAAAGATAGACTTACAGAGATAAGGGGAAGGTATCAATGACAAAGAGAACCTGCAAGTACCATGAGGCAATGACCATCTTTATTAAAGCAACAGCACCCTCTTGTGGCTGGCAAGGTAGTGCTACAAAGGCTTTGTAAAGCTAAGAGAAGATTCCACAGCTCTAGTCACACAAAGCAGACATTACATCACTGCACTCACCACCATCACCCCCCCGCCCCCCACGCACACACACTTGCCCAGGACCAGAAATCAAGCCAAGAGCCTTTGGAACACTGGTTCCCACCTAAGCCAGAGCGGCGAGGAGTTTAGAGAGAGGTTTGTACTATTTCTCTCCTGCTCAGGAGGAGTAAATGGTACTGAGGCTGCTGGGAGGATTACAGTGCTTTGAAACATAAAGGGACTATTGATATTGACCAATCTTTTTGTTCTAATTTATTCAAGAGCCCCAAAGAGTGCCACCTGTCTTTAATCACTTGTGCACTCCCAGCACAGCTCCTGGGCTTTACACAAACCCTTAGCAAGGATGAGAGCTAGACCAGGGCTGCATGAGGCCAGAAGTAGCTTGACAGGAGCAGCTGTGCCCACGCTCAGTGGCTCCAGAACTCCAGAGCCTGGGAGTGGAGACAGGCTAGGAGGTGGAGCAAGGACGCAGATCTGGAACTTCTCCTTCTCATCCCAGGGTCTAACAGCCAAAGCCCTGGCTCCATAATACCTGCCCAGCCACCCCAGAGTAAAATTGACTCTACTAAGTGCTAGCACTGTCCTGAGCATTTTCCATGAAAACAGATGAGTAATGGGAGGTCACTTGAGTTGAAACACTCAGATTTAAACCTCTCCTCTGTTGGCGGCACCTAGACATAACTGCCAAGCTGCCCCCTCAGGAAAATCTGGAACTTTATCTTTGTTCCTTGTCTCTGTCCTCCCCATTCTGTGCTCCCTCTTCTCCAACTCAGAGTCAACCACGAGTGCAGCCACCATTTGCTGAGGGCCGCAGTGTAGCAGGCAGCACTGTGTAAGGTCCTCCTGCTTTGCACTGGGGAAGACAGGTAGGCACCTCCGTGCTTTCCATCTTCCCTCAACCTTACAGAGAAATCTTAGTAACAACTTCGCACTAAATTGTAAATAACTGGTAATGCATAAAATATCAAGGAGACTGTGGGCGATTGCAACAGGTCCCCTTCCTTCTGGGGAAATGTGCAGGCTTCCTCGAGACTACAGAGCATGCTGGTTAAGAGCCAAGTGCCCACCACTCCTTAGCTGTGGGGCTGTGGGCAAGCCATAGTTACCTCATACGATATCATCTGATATCAGAGCCCCACCTCAAAGGGTTATCATGAAGGTTAAATAAGTGATTCTGCACTTCTATCTCCCCTCACTCACCGGTACACATCACAGCTGCAAAGACCCAGCACTGTCCATACTTCACAGGCTGCCCGCCCCGGGCTGACCACTGCCGCAGGATGGCCACACTGCCATTCCACTGCAGCGGGCTGACCCCCAGGGAGTAGTCCTCTCCCCAGTTCCCCTGCAGCACACCGTTGTCATCATTGCTGTTGATCTACGAAGGATAGATGGGTGGGTTCCACAGCCCAGGGGAAGCTCAGACCGCCTCAGACAGGGGCAGGAAGCACCTGTCCTTACCATGGCACTCACCACCCTGCAGATGTACACCACGTCGTTTCTCTGGGAGTAGTCTTTGGACGGATTCTCTAAGAAGTACAGGCTCTTGTTCAGGATCTCAAAGCAGATATCTATGATGCCCTCTTCAAACTTCCAAGTGGTTGTGAGAGAGAGAAAAAAAAGAAGAGTGGAAATGTCTAGAATGCTGAAACTTCAAGTAAGTAACAGTCTTAGAGAAGGTGTTGGGGGGGGGGAGCTATCAGACAAGGTTTTGCTTTCAAAGAGTTTATAAATCAAAATGGGAATTCTGAAAAACTGACCTATGTGGCTCTAATGGAAAATAAAAAAAGAATTCAGAGAGATGAAAGATCCTCATTGACTGAAGAGATCAGAGAAAGCTATCGGAGCTGGTGGGCTTTGAAGGATGAGGTGGACAGGAAGAGAGGAGGGTGAGGTCTTTGAGCACGGTGGGTACAAGGACAGGGGCTTGTGGGAAAAGATTAGATGGATAAATATAGGGCAAGGCAAGTGAGGAGGTGAAGAGCCTTATAATCAGGTAGAGGATTCCGCATTGAAGTTGTCAGCACGGGAGAAGCCAGTTTCGTGACATTTGTGTTTTTTACAACATGTATTTGTGACAACATGTATTTGTGGTTAAGTTGCCATCCTGTGGGCTGCCAAATGCACTGGTGTTTGTCTCATTTTCAAAAAATTACACAAGTTGCCCTGGTCGGTTTGGTTCAGCGGTTGGAGCGTCAGCCTGCAGTACAGAGAGACCCGGGTTCGGTTCCCGCTAAGGGCACGTACCTTGGTTGCAGTTTGTCCCCGGCCCTGGTTGGTCATGTGGGTGGCAGCCACTTGATGTGTCCCTTCACATCGATGTTTCTCTCTCTCTCTCTTCCTCTCTCTCCCTCCCGCTCTATCTGAACAAAAAAATGGAAAAATGTCCTCGGCTGAGGATAAAAAAAAAAAAAAAAATTACACAAGTTGTCACAGTCAGAGAACTGGGAAGCTGATCTTCCTGCTTTCTCCAACTCTCCCTTCCTCGTGTGAGGAGAGAGAATGCACCAGCTGAGATTGGTGGTTGAGAATAGAAAAGTTGCCCAGAGCCAAAGTTACCCCCTCTGTACACAGACTGGATATTTGATGTTATTAAAGAATTGCCATTCATTTTTTTCAGTTCGGATAATGTATTGTGGTTCAGTGTTTCAGAGTTGTCATCTTTTAGAGCAGCGCTTCTCAACATGTGGGTCGTGACCCCTTTGGGGGGTCGAATGACCCTTTCACAGGGGTCACCTAAGACATAACAGTAGCAAAACTACAGTTATGAAATAGCAACGGAAATAATGTTTTGGTTGGGGGGTCACCACAACATGAGGAACTGTATTAAAGGGCTGCGGCATTAGGAAAGTTGAGAACCACTGTTTTAGAGGTATGTTCTGAAGTATTACTGTGTTAAATGACATGGTATCTATAATTTGCTTCAAAAAAAATCCAGTGATTGCTCGGCCGATGTGGCTCAGTGGTTGAGCATTGACCCATGCACCAAGAGGTCGCCAGTTTGATTCCCTGTTAGGGCACATGCCCAGGTTGTGGGCCCAATCCCCAGTGGGGGGCATGCAGGAGGCAGCCAATTGATGTTCTCTCTCATCGATGTTTCTCTCTCTCTCTCTCTCCTTTCCTCTCTCTAAAATCAATAAAGAAAAAATATTTTTTAAAAAAATCCAGTGATGAGGTGAGGGGGTGGGGATAGGAGTGGGAAAGGGGTGGAAAAGTATAGACCAGATCAGCAAACTTTTTCTGTAAAGGACCAAATAGTAAATATTTTAGGCTTTGCAGGCCAGAGGGAGTCTGTCTCAGCTATTCAACTCTACCACTGTAGCACAAAAGGAGCCACAGATGATACCTAAATGAATGAGTATAGTTTTGTTCCAATAAAATGGTATTTATAGACACTGAGGGGTGAACTTCATAAAATTTGCACATCACAAAATATTATTTTTAAAAATTCTTTTTCAATAATTTAAAAAGGTGAAAATCATGCTTAGCTTGTGGGCCATGTGAAAACAGGCAGTGGGCCACATTTGGACCATGGGCTAATTTGCAAACCCCTCAGACAGAAGAAACAAGATTCACCATAAATTGATCACTAGTGAAGCTGAGAGAGGTTCGTGGAGGTTCACTATAGTAGCCTGTCTACTTTTATTATATTTTAAGTTTTTCATAATAAAATATTAAAAATGAGAAAGAAAAGGCATATCCCATTCCTTCCTTGCCCACAGCACTGCACACCCTGATTTTTTGTTAGCAGCCATTTATGAGCCCACCTTCCCGGGATGGTGTTACCTGCCCATAGTTCCAGGGCCAGGAGGTGATGAATCTTTCATGACCCTTGTACACAAAGCCATAGTCCATCATGATATATTCCTGCAGTAGTATTTCACTTGGCAGGTAGACATCGTCCTCTGAGCAGTTAAGAGCAGTGGAGGGGGTAAAACCCCAAACCAAAAGAAAAAAAACAAAAACAGAGCAATGAAAATGAAAAACGGTAATGAAAGTGTCTTGCTGGAAAAAGAAGATACAATGGGTTGACGGCTATAGAAATCAAGAGTGGACCCCATAAAAGTCTACTATATGCTTTCTAGAGGCCAGAGGTATCATCTATACTTTTTAAAGTAATGATTATCTTTTCCTGATTGTAAAAGCAGCAAGCTTGTTGTAGAGATTTGGAAAATACAGCTGATGGAAAGAAGACAATGAAAATCACTCATTCCCACTCGTCAGAGACGCTCACATTTTGGTGTATTCTGGCCACTCTCTCTTTCTCAGCACATATATGCAATACAATTACATATCACATTGTGTCCCATCTCCTAATCTATCTCACTTAACATCACACAGTGTAGGGCATTTCAAAGAGAGCTTCTGGGACTAAAACTAGGAGGTTGTAACACTGTAACCTAAGATGGAAGTTCTCCACAGGAAGTAATAGACATTCGATAGTGCCATGTTTTCCTGAGGAGACACAGGATTTTTTAAAAATTACACCATGAACATTTTCATCATGCCTCTAAAAATTCATTGTAAAGATGATTTTTAGTGTGCACAAGGCAATGCATTACCTAGATAGTCAGCATTTTTTTTCTTGGCTTTCTAAGTAGAACCTTATAGAACATTCCCAATGGATCGGGTTAGCATTACCACCTGAGAGTAAGCTGTACCTGCACTCCAAGGATTAAAAAGCAAGATGAAAGTCCCCACTGGGCGAGTCACAGAACCCTGGCCTTGAGAGATCTCTATCGTCAGAGTGTAGGAGCCAATGAGCGCATTGGCTGGTGTGCGAAGGGAAACAGAGAGTGAGTTGGAGTCCATGGTGAATTCCGAAGCACTCCAGACATTCCCTTGTTGGGCCTGGGTGAGTGAGAAGGTGACTCGGGTTCCTGACAGCTCCGTGGGTGCTGGTCCTGTGTGGGAAAGAATGACCCCAAGGTGAGGCTCAAACTCTATGTGACATGATTCCAGGTGGCCTGGAAGGAACTTCACCTTCTCCCATCATTTGCTAATCCTTTTGATTTAATATTTTTACTGCCACTGGGTGTCTTTGGGCAAAACATTTAAGATCTCTGGGATTGCCCTGGACAGTTTGGCTCAGCAGTTAGAGTGTCAGCCCATGGTCCAGAGAGACCTGGGTTTGGTTCCTGCTAAGGGCATGTACCTCCGTTGCAGTTTGTCCCCAGCCCCGGTTGGGGTTGTGTGGGTGGCAACCAGTTGATGTGTCTCTCTCACATCAGTGTTTCTCTCTCTCTCTCTCTCTCTCTCTCTCTCTCTGAAGATGAATGCAAAAATGTCCTCAGGTGAGGATAGGAAAAAAAAATACATTACTGGGATTAAATACATTACTGTGTGTGAAGTGCCTGAAGTGTATTTAAAGGTTGGTGGTTATCATCACAACATCAGTTTGCTGAGTTGGCCACATCTTTTCTTAACAACACTAAAAGGTGCTGAGCTGTAATGAGGTCCTGGGGAATCCCAGCAGAAGAGAGAAAGGGAGGCTCAGAAAGGAGAGGTAGGTGCCCTGCAGGTGAACTTTGCCTTGGGGAGGGTGAACTCACCAGTCTCAGCCACAAAGGTGATGTGGTCCGTCCCCGAGTGGAAAGGTCGGTTGAAATGCAGTTGGACCGTGAAGGGCTGGCCCCGGCGCACGATGAGCCGCTTCAGGCCCATCTCCTGCGTGTGGTGAGCCCTGTTGTTCCTGGGGCTCTGCAGGTTGACAGATCTGAGCTCTAAGGCTGCCACTGGGAGAAAAGGCAGCACAGGTCACTGCCCAGCTGTGGTTCCCTGGGCTCAGCATCCCCTGATACCTCTCAATCATTTCTGTGGCACCTGACTCTGACTCAGGTAAGATTTCTGTGCAGATCTTAGGCCTTCTCCCAGCCTGCTCCCTGGTTTCAGGACTCAGCCTCAGAGGGTAATTCAGCAGGCTCTGGCCTGAGAGTGGGAGGACAATGATCCTGGTGACCTCTGTACCTGGACCCGGAGCCACAGGGCTTAAGATTTAGGGTCCCAGAAAACAAACTGTTTCCAGATAACTGAAACTTAACCTTGCCACATTACCGTTAACCACTTGTGTTGACAATCTATAAGTTACTCTATTCTCCTGCTGATAAAAGAAGCAAATTAGAATTTTGTATGAATTAAGTCTTGAGCTGGTTGGAGGCTGGGACCTCAGCTACAGGCATGTCCCAGCTGTAGGATATTGAGCAGGTGGGAGCCTCAAGGTTACCTGTAATTTATTTCTTGCTTCCCAATTGTTCCCAGTGTCTGAGGGCACTGACTACTGCTTCCCCGGGGTGCTACTGTATGTGTACACCTAGTATGCAGTTTAAGAACTCTCATAGCGTATGCAAGAGTGCAGACTCTCGCTGCCTCGGCTGTGAGACCTTGAGTGAGTCATTTAATGTCCTTAAACATCAGTATCCTTGGCTCAAAACTGGAGAGAATGGTATTCCTATCTCATAGGGTTCCCATGGGCATTAAGTGAGGATTCACATGTAGAGACCTTAGCGCAGCAGCAGGTACAAAATAAGCACTCAGAGGTCATTAGTCGCTCTTAAGTAATGCAGTCGCAGATTGCATTCACTTTGCTATGTGTACTGGAAATTTTTATCATATTTCTGTCAACAAAAATCCATTAAGTCTTTTCCCCTAGTGGTACGTTAATTTATCTCAGCTGGGGAAATGTTGTCCCCTGGACGACATGTGGCAGTGTCTGGAGACATTTTTGGTTGTCACAGCTCGAGGAAAGGCTGCTACTGCATCTGGTGAGCAGAGGCCGGGGATGCTGCCGAACAGCATCCTATGGGGAAAACTCGAGTTTGCTCCCAGTCACGATGTAAACTGTGGGCCATAGTCAAAAAGTGTGAAAGCAACCGGCCTAGATCCTATTGGAAGCTGGTTGCATATCATTTGTTCCTGAAGGTCTTAACATTTTCATACCAGGGCCTACTGAGCCGCCCCAGAAAGCCTCTCCACCCCATATGCAGTGCCCAATGGCTAGTCTACCCTGAAAAATCAGACACCCAACACGGGCAGTGGAGAGCACACTTCCACAGGAAGGACCAGGACTGGGGCTGGGGTAGCCTTTTCCTGACTGCTGTTCACAGCTCAAAGCATAGTCCCTAAGGGCAGCCAACTCCATTTTCCCTTGACCCAGGCTGACTCTTGGTTTAGCAAGGAAAGGGAGGAGGAAGAAGGAAGCTGTCTTCCTCTTTATGCTCAAGGTTGCAACACACAGAAAAAACTCATTCTCCATTGGAGGTTCAGGTTTTCTTTTTTACTCCATTTAATATAATTATGCATTTGTCTCACTGAAGTGCCTCTTGTGTCAGAGAGACAATGGCTTCAGAGAACCAAAGGGAGGGCCTTGCAGGAAGCAGGAAAAAAAGCCGAGAGGATTAGGAAGAAATTCAACAAAGCAGGAAATCAAGCAGAAATAATTGGTAAAAACATGTCAGTGCCCACAAGGCCTTCTTGACTTGGCCACTGGCCCACTGGAGTTAGTAACAAGCGAGAGAGGTAAGCCCCAGCCACATGACGCCCAGTGCCTGATTAATACAAAGACAAGGATATTAAAAGGATCAAAATATATTCCCATGTATTATCAGCCTTAAAAAAAAAAACAGCCCTCTCTGCCTGCAATGAATTCTGAGATGCAAAGCTCTTGCCCTCCGAGAGATCAAAACTTGAGGTAGACCTGCTCTCATGGAGGGTTTTCTCTCTCCCTGTGAGTCTTGGCTCAGGGGTAACCACTGCGTGGGGACTTTCTTTGACCATTGAAGATGATGCCTCACCTCCCACCCTAGGGTTGCTTGCCATCCCAACGCCCTCTTTATTTTCTGCAGAACACTTAATCATATCTACAATTAGTTCCGCAGAAGCACCTTTACACTTGCCTAGAATGAAACACGGTTCCTAATTGCTGGCAATTCTAGCTCATGTTCTTACTTAATACTTACTACATGTTAGGCACCATCTGAAGTGTTTTAGATGTCTTAAATCATTTACATTCTCCCAGCCATTCTCCACAGAGGTGTTACTATTGTTCCTGGTGTGCAGGAAGTTATAGGGCAGAGCTGGGATTCAAATTCAGGTGGGCTGGCTCTAGAGCCTGCCCCCTGACCCTTCGCAATCCCCTGCCTCCGCTGGCTCGCTCGCTCGTGGGTGTTCCGAGATGTTTGGGGAAAAGGTATGTGCATCCATGAGTGAAGGAGGAGGAGAGCGGTTGGCTGGAGGGCAGTGAAGCTGCAGGGGGCAGAAGGGGAAGAGCCTGTGAGGGCAGCAGGGCCAAGATGCTGCCGTTGGCTTTGTTAGTAATGTGCACACCTAACCCTGATGGGAGAATAAAATGTATACGTTTCTGAGGACAATTTATCCAAATGTATTACAAAATAAAAGAAAGTCTTAAAACACAAATACCTTTGAGCCATAAATTCCTCTTCTAGGAATTTTTCCTTAAAAAAAAAATTGTAATTTGCCCTGGCTGGTTTTGCTCAGCAGTTAGAGCGTAAGCCTGCGGTCCAGAGACACCCAGGTTCGGTTCCCACTAAGGGCATATACCTCAGTTGTTGTTTGTCCCTGGCCCTGGTTGGGTCGTGTGGGTGGCAGCCACTCGATGTATACCTTTCACATTGATGTTTCTCTCTCTCTCCCTCTCACTCTATCTGAACAAAAAATGAAAAAATGTCCTCAGGTGAGGATAAAAAAAAAAATCGTAGTTTATGTAAATGTAAGCAGAAGGATGTTTGGTGCAATCCATATATCTTACAAAAAGAGTTGGAGACACAAACTTTATGCCTCTCATCTTGATATAATCAACAAAAAGGACAAAAAATATAGGGAAATAATCCATGAGATATTAAAAAGCAACATAAAATAGTAAAAAACCATAGGTTACATATTATTTTTAGATGGTGAAATTATAGGAAGTTTCTCCTTCCTTTGAGTTTTTTTCGGGCTGTCCAAGCTTGTGCTTAAACATGTATTCTTCTTGTATGTAAGGTAAAGTGTTACGTTGATGAAAGGCAGGTCTTTGAGCAGAAGTGGTATGATCAGAGCTGTCCTTCAGGATTAATCCGGCTGTGGTGTAGCCCAGACTGAAGCGGGGACAGACGAGCATGGAAGGGCAGTGAGAACTCTGTGGCGGTCATCTTAGGTAAAAGGCTCATGAGGACCTAAACAGAGGTGTTGGCTAGAGGAAAGGAGAGACTTCCCTATGTGTGCGAGGGGCTGGCATTCGTGGGCATGTGCAGGCTAATAAACAGCTGCTTTGGATAGAGACTGGGGCAGGTTAAAAGAATCCATTGTCAACAATGTTTCAGGCAATCGGGCTACTGGTGCAGGACTGGAAAGGTCCAGGTGAAGATGGTGCAGGCGAAGTCATGCCCAGCACAGCCATCAGAGAGAGCGGCACTTGCCTCCAAGTCAAGTGGACTCAGCTCCTCCCCTTCGTCTGCCCGTTTCTGTATTTCAGCTTCTTGGTCAATGTCTTTTCTTTTTCTACTACTCATTATTATTGTCAGTTTGAGACTTGTATAAGTACTTCGTTCTTTTTAATTTCTTCCCTTTTAAAAATGTGGAAGGGTTCATCTGTGTGAGAGCATAAAAAGAGGCTTATGTGATGAGATTATGCAGTGTTTCTGTGCCTCTTTAAGTGTGCAAGAGTAAACGTGTTTTATTGCATAAAGTTTCAAGTCCAAATTCCTTAGTCAAGCATTCAAAGCCTTCTACAATGTGGTCCCAACATATTATCTCCCAATAGCCATAAATAAACTCTGCTTCATTTGTGACCTCCAAATAGATCATGCTCAGCTCTACCTCTGGATGGTCCCTGCCCTTTTCCCAATCTCTACATGTCCTCACTGTAACCATTCTTCAAACAAAATTCAGCATCAACCTCCTCCATGAAATCCTTCCCAAACATTTCAGAACCTGGAGGCATCTTAGCACCTGCAACAATAGTTTTATATTGAGCTAACGTTTACTAAGTGTTAATAGTGCCAGAATTTATATGTATTATCTTCTATCCCTACAAATATTCAACAAGATATTATTAACCCTATATTACCGACGAGCAGAGGATCAATGGGGTTAATTTTCCCAGTGTCACCTACCCGGTAGGTGGCAAAATTGTCACTTATATCTGGACAATTTGACTCCAGAACCTAGCTCTTCACTCTGGTCTGTGTGGCTGCTCTGGAGCTCCCTCCAGCCTCCCCTCACCTTTTTTTCCACGTAAATGAATACCGTGCTTTATTCAAATGAAAACATAATGAACAGACTTAAAAGGAGCTGCCCTGGTGAAAAAAAACTGGAGCGGTGTCCCCCTGGCTTCTCTGTAGAGCCCTAGAATTCCAAAGAACACAATGAAAACCACAGCTCCTCCTAAAATGCCAGCCTGTCAGGGCAGGGCCAGCTCTGGGCCCACCTGGTCTCTCCCGCTGCTCTGCATTTTCTTAGACTCTAAACCACTTATTTGTCGGTTAATCACCGGCTGATATTTTGTTTTTTGAAACATTATTTTCATTTAATGATGTTTATATAATTAACTATGTTGTGTGATTGTTTACACCCAGTACTCAGCAATTCAAATAGCTGCTGGCAGGAGAAAAGTGTTCCCAGCTGTCTACACAAGTTAAATTATTAGGTCTTTTGCAGAAAATATAGCACTGGATTAATATCCATAATATACCCATGGGCACAGATAACAGTGCGGTGAGAGCCTGGGTGGGGAGGAGCGGGGTGGAGGGGGTCAATGAGGAATAAAAGGGGGGACATCTGTAATACTTTCAACAATAAAGATAAATTTTTTAATCTTTTTAAAATCCATAATATATTTAGGTTTCTATAAATATTAAGTCTTGCTATAATTAGAGAAATGAAAACTAAAACAATTATGAGATTCCATCTTTGATTCATTATCAAATACTTAAAAGAATACCAATAACCTATTTTGTGAAGGTATATGGAAATGGACTGTCTCATGTGGTGGGAATGTAAATTCATACAGACTTTTTAGAGAAATTGATTGATATTGAAGGTACCCTGAAACATGCCACTTTGGCATAAAGATTATTCTGAGCTAAAGGCAATTGAGAAGAAGTAGACACAAGAAAGGCTCTCTGCCCTCCCCTCATTTGCTTAAAAGCAGGACATAAACTTGGAAACATGTCCTTCCTCGCCTCTCTAGTAGAAAGAACAGAAGTTAGCAGAGAGAACTCTGGACCCTCATCTGCCCAGAGGAGCACCAGAGGAATCCGCACAGTAAACTGTTAACAAGCCCCTATCTTCCATTAGTTTTCTTACATATTTATCTTCCTATAATTTGTTGCCCTAGAAACTCAAAATCTTCTCCCTTTGTCTTTCACTTCTCTAAAAATTTACTGTTCCTTTGTTAAGATGCTATAAAAGCCCAAGCTCTAACCGCCCCTTTGAGTTACTCATCTCTGAGTACTCCCATGTATGTGTGCAATACACATTGATAATCTTCCCTTTGTTTTTCTCTCCTTAGTCAGTCTTTTGTAGGTCTAATTTATAGGTCCCCAGCCAATGAACCTGACTGGTAGAAGGGGGAAAAGTTAAGTTTTCCCTCCCCTACAGTATCCACCAAAACTAAAAGTGGATATTATCTTTGACCCAACAATATTTTTTAGAAATCTTTTAGATAAAAGACATTTGTACACATGTGCAAAGTTATATCAACAGGGACATTCATTACAGCATTGTCTATAAGGGCAAAATATTGGAAACAATCTAAATGTCTATGAACAAGGTATAGTAATAAATTAAACAAATTAATAAATTTATAAAATATTTTGTGCTTATCTGCCCCAAATTGAAAACTATCATTAATTTCACGTCTTTGTACTGGTATGCAAAGATTTCCAAGACATATCATTTAGTTGTTTTAAAAACTGTCATCAGATAATATGTATTATATAATCTCATTATATAAAACAAGTAATTTTGTATAATCTAGTAGTATTTGGAAGCAATGAACTAAATTGTTAACTGTTCTGTCCTATGAGGAAAAAGCCAGATTGGGAATACATATGTGTAAAGGGGTACTTGGGCTCTTTATTTTATATTTTATTTTATTTTATTTTATGTTATGTTATGTTATTTTATTTTTTATTCTCACCTGAGGACATTTTTCCATTTTTTGTTCAGATAGAGCGGGAGGGAGAGAGAGGAAGAGAGACAGAGAGAAAGAGAAGCATCGACGTGAAAGGGACACATCGAGTGGCTGCCAGCCAGGGCTGGGGACAAACTGCAACTGAGGTACATGCCCTTAGTGGGAACCGAACCCGGGTCTCTCTGGACTGCAGGCCGATGCTCTAACCGCTGAGCCAAACCGGCCAGCGCTTTTTTTTTTTAGGTACTTGGGCTCTTTAAAATTCTAATATATGAACTTTTAACTTTTTTATAAGTATTTTTTGTGTGTATTACTTATTTAATTAAAGTATAATATTTTAAAAGATTCTATAAGATTGTAGGCTTACTGTACTTGGGGATAACTGAGTGGAAAAAAATACCCTAGAATTTAACACAAAAATACCCTGGAATCTAGCATATGAATACACCTCTTAAGCCTTCTCTATTGAACTCTGTCTTATATTAAAATACTATGTACATCTCAAATTTCTAATAATTTATATGATATATAATTTATTTTTATTTTAAAATTTAAAAATTTTAAATTACAGTTGACATTCAATATTATATTAGTTTCAGGGTACAGCATAGTGGTTATACATTTATATTACTTATAAAGTGATCCCCCAATAAGTCTAATACGCACCTGACACCATATATAGTTACTAAAATAGTATTGACTCGGTTCCCTATGCTGTACTTTACATCTTCGTGACTATTTTGTAATTGCCAATTTGTACATCTTAGTCCCTTTACCTTTTTTACCCAGCCACCCAATCCCCCTCCCACCTGTCAACTCATCAGTTTGCTCTTTCTGTGAGTTTGTTTCTTTGTTTCTGTTTTGTTTGTTCATTTTTTTTTTAGCTAATCAGACACAACCTGGTTTATTTATTTTTTTAACAGATGAAGACCACACTTTTTTTTTTTTTTTATCCTCACCAGAGGACATTTTTCCATTTTTTGTTCAGGTAGAGTGGGAGGGAGAGAGAGGAACAGAGAGAGAGAGAGAAACATCGATGTGAAGGGACACATCGAGTGGCTGCCACCCGCACGACCAACCAGGGCCGGGGACAAACTGCAACCGAAGTACGTGCCCTTAGCGGGAACCGAACCTGGGTCTCTCCGGACCGCAGGCCGACGCTCTAACCGCTGAGCCAAACTGGCCAGGGCGACCACACTTTTTTTTTTTTTTTTCCTTTATTGATTTGAGAGAGAGAGGAAGAGAGAGAGAGAGATAAACACATTGAGTGGCTGCCACCCGCACAACCAACCAGGGCTGGGGACAAATTGCAACTGAGGTACGGCCCTTAGCGGGAACTGAACCCCGGTCTCTCTAGACCGCTGAGCCAAACCGGCCAGGGCTGTTCATTTATTTTGATTTTTGTTTTTTGTTTTGTGTTAATCCTCACCCAAGGATATTTTTCCATTGACTTTTAGATAGAGTAGAAGTGGGGGAGAGGGAGAGAGAGAAACATGAATGTGAAAGAGACACATCAATTGATTGCCTCTTGTTCACCCACAGCCACAACCAGAGCCAGGGGATCTAACTTGCAACTCAGGTATGTACCCTTGACTGGGAATCAAACCTGTGACCCTTTGGTCCTCCACCTGATGCTCTAACCGATAAGCCAAACCAGCCAGGGCCATTTATTTTGTTTGTTTTTTCAATTCCACTCTCTGATATATAATTTACAGCACAAATTTTAAAAATATGTAATCCAGCCCAGCCGGTGTGGCTCAGTGGTTGAGCATCGACCCATGCACCAAGACGTTCGATTCCCGATCAGGGCACATACCCAGGTTGTGGTCCCAATCCCCAGTGGTGGGCATGCAGGAGGTGACCAATCAATGTTCTTTCTCATTGATGTTTCTATCTCTCTCTCCCTCTCCCTTCCTCTCTCTAAAATCAATAAAGAAAAACAAACATAATCCATGTTTAGTGCCCTCTCCCAGCAGGCCCCACGCATCTGCCAGGCTGGCCCACCTTGTTTTTGTCACTCCCGGCAGCGGAGCAGCAGTGGTTCTAAGGGAGCTCAAGGACAGGGCAGCATCTAAGGAGAGCTGAGAGCCAGAGGAGAAACTGGACCAGGAGAAGGGTCTAGGATCCAAAAGGTGGTCCTCCCACAGCTGCCAGGTTAGCCACAGAAAAGGCCTCTTGAGCACCAAGGGCACCAAGAGGTTAAGGTCAAGGTCCTCATGGGCCCACTTAGACCTCCCAAGGTCATTCCAGTCCCAAGATGTTAAAGAAAAGATTATCCACAGGTTAAACTGAGTCCATTTATAAGAAAATGAATGACTGTATAATGTGTGCCTCAAGGGCCGAATAAAGGTAAAGAAATGAGAGAAAGGAGCCAGATAATACAAGGGGCTATCAATATCAATTTAGGCCCTCCTATCTTTTCTGTTCACCCTCTACCCTCTCTATACATCTCTCCTCTCTTGACTTAGCACCTCAGAAAAAGTTAGGTTTCCAGTACTCACCCTGATTCATCTTCCTTCTCCTTCTGTCAGCCAAGGCCCTTCAACTACTCAGTATTAAAATTCTAGACTTAATTGCCTCTCTGAGCATTTGCTGTCATCTGACTAGAAACTTTTCGTCCATCCTGGGCGGGGCTGCCATTTCCTCCTCCTCCTAGTCTTCCTGCTCTTAACTTTCTCACTGTTCCAGGTGCATCTTAACTTAAGGAAAAAAGTCCTTTCTAAAGCCTTTTAAAAATTGCTGACGGATTTGTTTCCATGGCCTCCTTTTTAACCTACGAAGACTCAAGTGGCAGGGAAGGCAAAGCT